GCAGTGACACCAAGGTCCCCCCGACCCCCTCCCCGCCATGGGACACAAGCCCTGTGACCGCCCTGGGCGTCCCCAGCGGGGAAGGGAAGTGACAGTGACAGTGATTGTGGGATGGGGCGGGGGTGCCCGTCTGGTGCCGCGGGGAGATGTTATCGGGGTGCGGTTGGGGTGCCACGCACCGCAGGGCCCCCCCGCTGTCTGTGGGTACCCCCAGCACCCTGAGGTGCCCCCCAGCACCCCTGGCTGGAGGGGGTGGGGCTGGGACTTTCCCAACACACGGCTGAAAGAAGAAGTGAGATTTGGGGGGAAGAGCCGCCTGCCCACTCAGTGAGAAGGGAAACTGAGGCCGGGGGTTTGGGGGGGTCCCGCAGGTGCCCCCGGAGCCATGAGGACCCTCCTGCTGCTGTGGGTGGCCCTGGCCGGCACAGGGGCCCAGCTGCCCTGTCCCCGTGGGGGACCCTGCCCCGTCACCCCGGTGAGTGTGCGGGGTTTGGGGGGTCGGGGGGGCCTCAGCAGGGGCTGTAACCCCCTCTGTGCCCCCAGGCCCTGCCTGCCCGCGGTGCAGTGGGGTGCCAGGACAGCTCATCCTGCCCTGCCGGCTGCCAGCTGCCAGAGGTGAGCCCTGCCCTGTGCCTCAGTTTACCCCCTGTTCCTGCCATTTGGGGGGCACTCCCTGACCCCCCTGCCCTCCCTCTCCCTTCTCTGTCCCCAGAGTGTCCCCTGCGCCGGGGGCCACCGCTGCTGTCCCCGCGGGTCCCACTGCAGCTCTGACGGGGAGTCCTGTGTCACAGACCTGGGTATGGAGACAGGGGGTTGGCCGGAGGGCAGGGTGGGCCTCGAGGGGACGGGATGGACACGGGGCTGTCACCTGTCTCCACAGCCCCCCGTGCTGTGCCCTGTCCTGACGGCCAGTCCGAGTGTCCTGACGATGCCACGTGCTGTGTGACAAGCAGCGGCGCCTGGGGGTGCTGCCCCATGCCCCAGGTACGGGCTGTGGGGACACGGGGACGCTGAGGGGGCACCTGGCACGGCCATCGCTGTGACTGGCACGGCTGGCACCCGCAGGCCTCGTGCTGCGCTGACAAGGTGCACTGCTGTCCCCACGCCACCGTCTGTGACCTGACCCGCGGGCGCTGTGTGTCCCCCGCCGGTGACACCGACGTCCCCCTGGGCACAGCCTTCCCCGCCTGGAAGCGCCACCCCCCCGCCCCAGGTAAGGGGGGTGCCCTGGGGGTGCCCTCGCTGTGCCGTGCCCTCGGAGGGGACGCGGTGACACCGTGTGTCCCCTCAGTGGCGCTGCGCCAGGTGCTGTGTCCCGATGGCCGCTCGGCGTGTCCCGACGGGGCCACCTGCTGCCAGCTGTCCCCAACGCAGTACGGCTGCTGTCCCCTGCAGAACGTGAGTGCTGGCACAGCCCTGGGCACCCTGGGATGGGCAGCTGTGCCAAACCTGTGCCCAGCACCCCAAACCCGCCACCCCCCACTGAACACCCCAAACCAAGCACCCCCTGCCAGGCACCCAAATCCTGGCCAGCATCCCCCAGGCACCCCTGTGCCAGGCACCCCAAGGCAGCCACCCCTCACTGGGCACTCCAGTCCAGCACCCCCCACCCCAGCACACACCACTCGCCCCGTACCAGTCCATGCAGGCACCCCATTCTGGGCACCCCAATTCCAAGCACCCCACAGTGATGCCAGGCACCCTATTTTGGGCACCTTGTCCCTATCACCCCACACCCGACACGCCTTGCTGGGCATCCTGTGGTGGATGCTGGGCCCTGGGCACCCCACCTGTGCCATGTCCCCCACCAGGCACCCCGCACTGCCCCCCGTGCTAAGCACACCCTGTCCTTGTGCCCAAGGTCCCTGTCCCCCCATTTGTCTCCCCCCAGGCCGTGTCCTGCAGTGATGGACAGCGCTGCTGTCCCAAGGGCACCTCCACACCATGTCCCCTATGCTGTGCCCCCTGTCCCCATCCCAGGGTCCTTGTCATGCTGTGTCTCCCCCAGGCCGTGTGCTGCAGTGACGGGCAGCACTGCTGTCCCCAGGGCACCACCTGTGACCTGATCCACTCCACCTGCACCTCCCTGGGGGGCTCTGCCCCCCTGGCAGCACTGCCCACAGGTAAGGGAGCAACCACCCCCTGTCCTGTCCCGGGGAGGGGACACCAGCCCTGACTGTCACCTGTCCCCAGCTGGTGACGTCAAGTGTGACGAGGAGACGAGCTGTCCCGATGGGAACACGTGCTGCAGGCTCAGCTCTGGGGCCTGGGGGTGCTGCCCCCTCGAGCAGGTACAGGGGTCCCCTGTGCCCCCAGGACACGCAGATGTCCTCTGTCCCCCTGGGTGGGATGAGGGCTCATGTCCTCTGTCCCCCTGGGTGGGATGAGGGCAGCTGTGTCCTGTTCCACTGAGAAGGACAAGGGTGGGAGTTCCCTGAACTTGCCCAGGACAAGGTTTGATGTCCCCTGTCCGCCTGGGGAGGGACAAGGATGGGTTCCCCTGTGTCCCTCCAGAACTGGGAGATGTCCCCTGTCCCCCAGGAGGGCTCCCATTCCCTGATGTCCCGTGGGGAAGGGTGACACTGAGTCACTTTGACATCCCCCAGTCAAGCCCCCTGTGCTGACTGGGACCAGTTTGGGGCTCCAGTGGCAGGAGGTGGTGAAGGGACATGAGGCCACCAGGATCCTCGGGGACCTTCCTGAGTCCCACTGAGGGGGGGTCAGCAGTGATGAGGGGCCCCCTGTATCCCCCCCTCCTCACTGCTGGGGCAGGGACTGGGGATGGCAGGAATGGGCAGGAGGGGACACGTTTGCCCCCCCTTCTCTGGAGCTGGCAGTCCCTTGGGGGTCCCCTGTGCTCAGCCTCCCCTCTTTGCCCCCAGGCCGTCTGCTGCCCTGACCACGTGCACTGCTGCCCCCAGGGCTACACCTGCGACCCCGAGGGGGGCAGCTGCCTGCAGGGGGGGGGCACCCGCCAGCCCTGGGTGAGCAAGACCCCGGCACTGCCCCGGGGGGGACAGGTGACACCGGGGAACGTCCAATGTGATGAGAAGACGAGCTGTCCTGATGGGAGCACGTGCTGCCGGCTGAGCCTGGGCACCTGGGGGTGCTGCCCCTTCGAGCAGGTGGGGGGGCTCTGCCCATGGGGGTCCATGGCTGTGTGAGCTGGGGGGTGCACCCAGGGGAGTGGGGGGTCCTGGACTGAGCAGAGATTCCAGGGGATCCTGGGGTGTCCTTGGAGGGGGGGACATGGCTCAAGGGACCCCGAGTGGAGCACCTGTCTGGGGACATGGGAACGTTCACAGGGCACAGTGAGCAGCTGTCCCCTGAGCAGCCCCATGGGCTGGGGGTCTCCTGTGCCCCGAGGGGACAAAGGCCAATGTTCCCTTCTCCCCACGAGGGTCAAGGCCAGATGTCCCCCTTTGTTGCTTGAAGGATGAGGGCAGATGTCCCTTGTCCTCCAAGAAGGACAGGGTGGGCTCCAAACCCCTCATGTCCCCATGGGACACAGGGCCCCTTTGCTGGCCCCCAACCCCAGTCAGACCCCCTCTGCTAACTGGGACCAGTTTGGGACTCTGGGGGCGGGAGGTGATGGAAGCACACAAGGCCACTGGGGTGCTCAGGGACATCCATCCATGTGTCTCATGGAGGGGCAGAAGCGTCACCAGAGGGTCCCCATATGTGCCCCCCTCAAAGCAAGGAGGGAGCCAGGCTGGGTCTGGGGGGACACAGAACGGGGGAGGGCAGGAACAGGCAGGAGGGCACTTGTCCTCTGAAGGTCCCCAGCTGTGTTGCTGGGGGTCCCCTGTGCTCAGCCCCCCCTCTTTGCCCCCCAGGCTGTCTGCTGCCCCGACCTCGTGCACTGCTGCCCCCAGGGCTACACCTGCGACCCCGAGGGGGGCAGCTGCCTGCAGGGGGGGGGCACCCGCCAGCCCTGGGTGAGCAAGACCCCGGCACTGCCCCGGGGGGGACAGGTGACACCGGGGAACGTCCAATGTGATGAGAAGACGAGCTGTCCTGATGGGAGCACGTGCTGCCGGCTGAGCCTGGGCACCTGGGGGTGCTGCCCCCTCGAGCAGGTGGGGGGGTCCCTGGGGTGGGGGTGCCCCAGGGGTGGGGTGTTGTCCCAGGGAGTGAGGATTTGGGAATGGAATGGAGGGGGTTGGGACAGAGCGTGACTGTAGGGATGGCCCTTTGGGGACAAGCAGAGCTGGGAGGGGCAGAGACATGGGACACTCCCACGTTTGTCACTGGTCCCTCCATGGAGGCTCTGGGCACCTTGGGGACAGGGTTTGGCACAGTCCCTGGGTCTCTGCTGGGGACACCTGACGTACCTATCCTCTGTCCCTGGTACCCGGACCCCTATGTCCCCCAGACACCCATGTCCCCCAGTGTCACCCCACTGACGCCACGCTGTGTCCCCCCCAGGCCGTTTGCTGCGGGGACCACAAGCACTGCTGTCCCCGGGGCTACACCTGCAACGTGGCCACCGAGAGCTGTGAGAAGCTGCTGGCGCCCACCCCGCTGCTGCCAACCCCCTCAGCCCCTCGCCAGACCCCCTCTGCCCCCCGCCAGGCCCCCTCTGCCCCACTGCGAGCCGCTGGCACCCACCCGGGTGGCCTCGTGCCCTGCGGTGCCACTGGCTCCTGCCACGGGGGCCAGCAGTGCTGCCAGGCCCGGGGAGGCTCCTGGGGGTGCTGCCCCTTCACCCAGGTGAGTGGGGGGACACCGGGGTGGGTGGGGGTGGCATTACCCCCCCTCACTCTGTCTGTCTCTGCAGGGCTCCTGCTGCTCCGACGGCCGCCACTGCTGCCCCGCGGGGTCCCGCTGCACCAGGGGGGGCTGGGGGTGCAGCCCCCCGCGCTGGGACCTGCTCTGATGGCTCTGGGGACACCACCACTGCCACCCCCCGGGAATGCCACCACCCCAATAAACGGTTTCTAGGAGAAATGCTACCCATGGCTCCTGGCGAGGGGGGGAAGCTGAGGCAGGAGGCAGAGGAGGGGGGATTTTGTGTGTTTAATATATTAATGCCTCTAAGGAGCGGGCAGGACGTGCAGGCAGGTGCAGGCAGCAGCTCCCTGCCCAGCCTGGCACCCAGGGGGTCCCCATGGCCCCCCCGCTGCCAGCCTGGCCCCAATGACCCCTCTTCATCCTCACCACGTAGAAAACGTTTAGAAACACGAGTTAAAATCCAAAGGGGGATGAGGGTGGGGGGACAGGGCCCCCCGGCTCCTATGGCAGCTTGGAGGCACCGCTGGCTCGGGGGGCAGTGCCAGCCCCCCCTGTCCTGCAGGGACACAAAAGGGGACATGGCTCAGGAGTGGGGGAACATGGAGCATGCACTTCCCACCCCCAAAAGACAGGGAGGCGGAGGGTGGTGTTGGGTGGGACACAGAGGGAATGGGGCAGCAGGATCCCGTGTGACAGAGCCTGGTGGCACAGGGTGGGGGCCACGGTGGCCTGGGTGTGGTCACTCTGGTCCCTCCCCTGGCAGAAAGGGACCATGGTGGTGGGATGGGATTGTGGTGGGCTGTGACAGTGGTGGGACATGACAGTGGCAGGAGAGGACGGTGGTGGGCTGGGACGGTGGTGGGGGAGGACAGTGACAAGGCAGGATGGTGAAGAAGGTGGTGGGATGGCATGGCAGGATAAGATGGGACAGTGACAGACAGGACAGGGCGGTGGGAGGGTGGCACGGGGATGACAGCAGTGGGAGGAGATGATGGCTGTGTGGGACTGTGGTGGGATGGCGGGTGGGATGGTGCTGGGGTGAGATGGCAGTGGGATGGCACAACGATGGGACAGCGATGACAGAGGACGGTGGCGGGAGGAGGCGGTGGCCGGGAAGGACAGTGGTGGGCTGAGACGGGTGACAGCAGCGGTGTCCCCATCCCAGCACCCCCTGGGACTTGCCCCGCACCAGGGGCCCGGCCTCCCCACACTCACTTGACATTGAAGACCATCAGAGGCCGCTCCTCCCGCTTCTGCCAGGGGCTCTTGCGGTCGCCCCCCTCGTCGCCCCCGTCGCCCGCCTCGGCCAGCGCCTCCTCCTCGGGGCTGGTCAGGGAGTCTCGAGGGGCTTCGCTGGCGCTGCTGCGCCCGCTGCCGCCCCCTCGCCGCCCCCCGCTGCCTGCTTCCAGCAAGGGGGCGAGCGAGCTGTCCTCGGGGGAGGCTGCGGGCAGCGGGGGCCGGGGCCCCCCGTCCTCCTCCCCGCCTCCGGCGGCCCGGGGGAGGCGGGGAGGGGGCGCGGGGCCGGGGCCCCTCTCGCTGCCCTGCAGGTCGATGTAGGAGTGCCGAACCTGGGAGGAGCGCCCGTCCAGGGACACGAACCAGGCTCTCGGGGGTGGCGGCCCCCCCAGTTCCAGGAGCTGCTGCCCGGCCAGCGCCTGCAGCTCCCCGTTGAGCTGGGCCACCGCCGACCCGTCCAGCAGCACCGGGATGGCCACCGAGCCGCTCACCGGTTGGGGGGCACGAGCCCCGCCCCAGTTTTCCCCTTCCTCGAAGGGCTGCCCGGAGGAGGGCGGGGGCGGCGGCGCGGCCGCGGCCGCCGTCGAACCGGGGCCCCCATCGGCTTCGGGGGGACCCTCGGGCTCGCCGGGGGCCAGGCGCATGTAGCGGGCGGGGATGAGCAGGGTGGGCATCACCCCCCGGTACACATCCTCGGGGCCCCCGCCGCGGTCCAGGGGCCCGCAGAGCAGCAGCGGCCCGGGCGGGGCCAGCGAGGGCGGCCGCGGCGGCCGGGCGGGGGGCAGCTCGCGGGCCGAGGGGGGCAGGCTGGGGGTGGGCAGGTCGGTGTCGCCCCCCGAGGAGGCGGTCTCCAGGTGGCTGCCCCCGCACAGGAGGTCCAGCTGGGACACCGAGGTGGCCTGGTCCCGGCGCGCCGCGTCCAGCGGCCCCGGCAGCGGCAGCTTGCGGTGCTGAGCCCGCGGCTTCAGGCAGCGCCGCCTGCGGGGACGCGGGGGCTCGTGAGGAACGGGGTCCCCCTGCTCCCCCCTCCCGCGCCCGCTGGAAGGAGCTCGAGGAGGGGGCTATAGGGCACCCAAGGGTGCTGGGGAGTGGTGTGTCACCCCCCAAATCCAGTTACAGGGCACCCAAGCGTGCTGGGGAGTGGTGTGTCACCCCCCAAATCCAGTGACAGGGCACCCAGGGGTGCTGGGGAGTGGTGTGTCACCCCCCAAATCCAGTTACAGGGCACCCAAGGGTCCTGGGGAGTGGTGTGTCACCCCTCCCAAACCAGCTCCAGGGCACCCAGTGGTTCTGGAGATCGGTGTCTGTCTCCCAAATCCAGATAAAGAGCACCCAGAGGTGCCACAGCTGGTGCCTCTTCCCCATAGCCAACTACAGGGCATTTTGGGGTTCCAAGGGGTGGTGACTCCCCCAGAATGGCTACAGGGCACTCAAGGGTGCCAGGAGGGTGGTACCCCTTCCCCACAGTCAGGTCTAGGACATTTGGGGGTGCCTTGAGGTGGTGCCCCCCCTTCCCAAAGGCAGATAAAGGGCACCCAGGGGTACCAGGAGGATGATGCCCCCTCCCCATAACCAGTTATAGGGTGCCAGGAAATGGTCCCCCCCAGCTGTGGGGCACCCAGGGGTGCTGACCCCCATTCCCACGTGGAATGTCGGGTTCTGTTCCCACCCCCCACGGTCAGGGCTGACCTGCAGTAGTAGATGAGGAGGCAGAGGAGGATGAGGACGAGCAGGGCCAGGGCACCCAGGATGGTGAGGAGGAAGATGGTGTGGTAGGTGGTGATGTCCGTCACACCTGCTGCCATTGCCACCAGCCCTGGGGACAGCAGGGTCAGAGGGGCAGCCCCCCCCGAGAGTTCCCTGGGGGGCAAAGGGAACCCCCAGCACAGCACCCCAGGGGGCTGCAGTGTCCCCCCAGCCTGGACAGCCCTGGGGACCATGGGACTGGGGGGCACCAGGAGCACCCAGGGTGGTCCCAGCCCCTCAGGCAGCCCTTGGACAGGGGCGTCGGAGGGGAAGCACCCCAAGGTGCTGCCACCCCCTCCCCAGCCAGCCTGTCCCCAGAGCCAAGGGACACCGGCTGGGAGGGCACTCACAGGTGTCACCTTACCCGTGCTGGGGGAGGGCAGAGCTGCTGCCCAGTATCCCAGCTGGGAGGAGACGAACGTCCAGTACAGCTGCCGGCCTTCCTTCCGGATCAGCCCCGTCCCGTTCCGGACCCACAGCCCTGCGGGACACAGCGGGCTGAGACCCCTCACCTCACCACCCCATCACCCCCCTGTGGGGACACCGCGGGCTGAGACCCCTCACCCCACCACCCCACCACCCCCAGCAGCAGCTGTGTCCCCTCTGCACCCCCCAACAGGAGCTGTGTCCCCTGTGCTACCCCCAGCAGGAACTGTGTCCCCCTCAACAGGAGCTGTGTCCCCTCTGCAACCCCCAGCAGCAGTTGTGTCCCCTCTGCACCCCGCAACAGGAGCTGTGTCCCCCTCTGCCACCCCCAGCTGCAGCTGTGTCCCCTCTGTCCCCCTCAGCAGGAGCTGTGTCCCCCCCAGCAGCAGCTGTGTTCCCCTCTATCCCCCTCAATAAGAGCTGTGTCTCCCTCTGCCCCCCTCAATGGGAGCTCTGTCCCCTCTGTCCCCCCCAGCAGGAGCTGTGTCCCCTGTGCCACTCCCAGCAGGAGCTGTGTCCCCTCTGTCCCCCTCTGTGTCCCCTGTGCCACCCCAGCCAGCACTCACCGCTCTTGGGGTCAAACCTCCAGGCTGGCACACTGGTGGCCACCACGGCCGCGGCGTCGGGGGCCAGCGGGACGGACAGATGGACGGGGCCGGCCAGCGGCACCTCGGTCCCGTTGCCGGTGAACAGGTGGACGCTGACAGCCGCCACCGGCGCCAGCTCCAGCCACGTGCCATTGGCTGCGGGACAAGGACGGGGACATCCCTAAGGGGGGCCACCCAGGGTGCGCCCCCACCCCCGTCCGCGGTGCCCCCCGTACCGCTGCCGTCCTGCTCGGCCCCGAGGAAGGCGGGGAAGGCGCGGGCCAGGCCGGGGCCGGAGGCGGCGGTGAGCGACGCGGCGAGCTGGCTGTACGTGGAGCTGCGGGGCAGGCGCGCTGCCCGCCGGGGGAACTGCGCCCACGGCTGCCCACGGCCACCTGCGGGGACACGCGGGTGGCAGCACACGGGGGGTGGCGGTGTCACCCACCGCCATCCCCGTGGTTCGGCGGGGGCACAGGGTGGGTGGTGTCACCCAGGGCGGCGGTGGTGTCACCCAGGGTGGGTGGTGTCACCCAGCGCCACCCCCGTGTCCCACCTGGCGATCCCAGGAGGATCTGGACCAGGTCCTCGTAGAGGATGAGCGTGGCCGGGCGCTCCGGGAGCAGGTAGAGGCTGATGGAGGCGTAGACTGCAAGGGGAAGAGGGGGCGATGGGGGACCCCAAAGTACCCACACCTGGACCCCAAAAATACACACACAAAAATACTCCTCCCAAGGTTGGGAGGACTGATGGGGAGAGGGGGATGGGGTCTGAGGAGGGAGTGGGGAAGGGGGACACAGCAAGGGGTGAGGTGCATTCGGGGCAGGGACAGGAGGAATGGGGGGACAGGCAGTGGGCAGGGTGGGGGCACCCCCTCCACAACCCCATCCACACACCCTCCATCCCTGTCCCTGTATTGCTTCATCCCAGTACCCCCCATCCCCATCCTGTACCCCACAATCCCTGTACCCCATTCCCACCTCCCCAGTTGGGTGCTCCCATGTGTGCCACCTCCCCAAGGTGACCCCTGCCACTGATGCCACCCCCAGTCCCCCCTGCCCTGGGGAGAAGGACTGGAGTGCATCCCAGGGGGCACCCCCAAATTCCCCTGCCCTGGGATGGGATCCATGGGATGGGGTGGGATGGGATGGGATGGGATCCGTGGGATGGGATGGGATCCATGGGATGGGATCCATGGGATGGGATGCCATGGGATGCCATGGGGGGACTTGGGGGCCACCAGGACATGGTTGTCCCCTCCCAAGGGGGTCTGACCCCTCCCAAACACCCTTCTATAAGGGACCCCTACACTGAAACCTATTAGGGGTCCCCTGCAAGGAAGGTTCCAGTAAGGGACTAAGGACCCCACACCAGGGCTCAGAGCCCACAGTTAGGAATTCAGGACCTCCAATCAGACCCAGGACCTTCAGGAAGGGATTGGGGATCCCCCATCATGGCTCAAATCCCCTCAGGAAGGGATTGTGCCCCCCTGACAGACTCAGAGACCCCGGTGAGGGATTGGGGACCCCCAGCCAGAGCGCCCAGGAAGGCTGGCGGTGCCGGTGACTCACGTGGCAGTTTGGTGACGCGCCAGGGGACAGAGGCGGTGACGTATCCGCGGCGTGCGGCGGTGACCAGCAGCCAGGAGCCCAGGCGGTAGGGCACGGGCAGGACGGCGGTGCCCGAGTGGTCCGTGCTGCCCGCGGCCAGCGCGCTGCGGGCGCCCAGCACGTCCAGGGCCGCCTGCGGCAGCGGGGCCAGCGTGCCGCTCTCGAACACCTGCACCCGCAGCAGCACCTCTGCGGGGACACGGCGGGGACACGGCGTGGGCACGGGGACGGCGTGTGGGGAGTCACAGCCACTAACCCAGCGGGCACGGCCACCGTGCCAGCAGGTGGTGGGACACAAACCGGGGGGCACAGCCACCATCCCAGGGGGCACGGCCACCATCCCGGGGGGCACGGCCACCGTCCCGGGGGGCACAGCCACCATCCCAGAGGACACAGCCACCATCCCAGGGGTCACAGCCACCATCCCGGGGGGCACAGCCACCGTCCCGGGGGGTCACAACCACCATCCCAGAGGGCACGGCCACCATCACAGGGGGCACGGCCACCATCCCAGGGTCACAGCCACCATCCAAGGGAGCACAGCCACCATCAGAGGGGACACAGCCACCATCACAGGGGACACAGCCACCATCACAGGGGACATGGCCACCATCCCAGGGGGTCAGTCACCATCCCAGGGTCACAGACACTGTCCCAGGGGGCATGGCCACTGTCCCGGGGGACACAGCCACCATCCCAGAGGACACAGCCACCATCCCAGGGGTCACAGCCACCATCCTGATGGATGATGGGCACCACACCAACAGGTGGTGGGACCTGTCCTGCTGGGTCATGACCACCATCCCCATCACAGGGGGCATGGCCAACAGCACAGGGGGTCTGGCCACCATTTCAGCAGGTGGTGGAACACACCCTGCCAGGTCGTGGCCACCATCCCAGGGGGCTCACCGCCACCATCCCAGGGGTGTCATGGTCATCATCACAGCCACCATCCTGCACCCAGCAGGTGGTGGGACCCATCCCAGTGCCCACCATGCCCAGCAGGTCACAGGCACCACCCTGGCAGGTCACAGGTGCTCCCCAGTAGGCAGCAGGCACCGTCCCGAGGGGGTGTGAGCATCACTGCTGTGCCCACCCTGTGCCCCCCTGAGGGGGCTCGTGGCCCCAGGGTGCCGTGCCCACCCGGCTGGGTGCACCCAGTCACGTCACTCTCAACCCCCCCACCAAAGGCCACCCCCAGGTAGGTGCCTGTCACTCCTGTCCCAAGGTCAGGGGGTCTCGAACCCAGCAGGCCCCACAGCAGCAGGGGGAGGGATCCCCCCGGCAAGTCCCTGCTGCAGGGCCCGGCTCGAGGGAGGGGGGACCCTAAACCCCCGAGTGCCCCCGGCCCCCCCGAGCCAGCGCCATCCTGCGCATGATCCGCAGCCCTTGGCAGCGGTCCCGGCTCCGGCGCCGTCACCCAGGCAACGACCTCCTTCATCCCGCGCCCCGGGGCTGCCGCCGGGCCCCCCGCAGCCCCGGCCCCCCGGAACCCCCCACCCCACCGGGCACCCCCCCCGACCCGGCCCGGCCAGATGCGGCCCAGATGTGGCAACGGGCGAGGGGGGGATTCGCGCAGCTGCTCCAGCGATGCACGGGGGGGAGGGGGCGGGTTCAGGAATGGAGGGGCTGGGGGTGTCCCCCCGCATGGCGGGGACAGCCGGCACCCGCGGGCAGGAATGTCCCCGCGGCCTCCCGCAGCTGCCGGGGGACAGCTGGCATCAACGGCCACGCCGGTGTCCGCCGAGGAGGGGGCCATGGTGCCACCCCCAGCGCGGGGACACAGGCACAGGCACGGCCCCGTCCCCGCTCTCTGTCCCCCCGCCACCACCAAAGGGTCCCCAGAGGGTGCTGCGGCCACCCTAGGCTCGCTGGCCCCTCGCTGGCTCCCCAGTGCCACCCAGTCTGACCCCAGTGTCCCGAGAGCAGGGCGGGGGTGCAGGCCCCGGGGTGGCAGTGAGGAGCCCTGCCACGTCTGTCACCCCGCGGGGACAGGGATGGGCAGGGGTGACGCCAGCGGGGAGCTGAGCCAGCACAGACAGGACGGGTCGGGGGTGGGGTCACTGACCCCAAGCCCCCCTGTCACCCCGGGCACGCCTCACCCTGGCATAGGGGCTCTGCCAGGAGGGTTTGGGGTGCGGGAGGGGTCACAGGGAACCGCAGGGACCCCAAGGCCCGCCCTGTCTGCCGGATGCACCCCCCACCATCCTGCCCCGGCTGCTGCTCAGGACCCCCTGCCCACCCACCATCATGCACCCCCTGCCCTGGGACCTCCACCCACCATCAGCCACCCTCAAGCTCTGCTCAGGACCCCCGTCCACCCTCCTGCACCCCTAAGCTCTGTCCACGATCCCCACCCAACTTCCTTCACCCCTGGTTTGTGATGCCCACCCACCATCGGGACCCCCCCGCCACCCTGTACCGCAAGGTCTGGCACCATCCCCACCCTCTGATCCCCCAAGCTCTGTCCGTGACCCCCACCCAACCAGCTGCACCCCCTGGCACTGCCCAGGCCCCCCACCCTTCACCCTCTTCCCGCCGGTGGCCAGAACCGCCCGGGGAGAGGGAGACAGACGGACAGACGGACAGACGGGGGTGCGGCCGGACAGACACAGCCGGGGGTGGACGGCGGATGGACAAGGGGGATGGGCAAGGATGGGGGTGTCGGAGGCGGGGGGCCGGGAGCGTCCGCCCGCCCGCCGCGGGGACCGGGCTCCACCTGCCGGAGCCGCCGGGCACGGCCGCCCAGTGCCCACCCCCGGAGCGGCACCGCCCCGGCACCAGGACCACCCCCGGCACCGCCCCGAGACCCCCAGACCAGCCCCTGGCACCGCCCCAGGCCGCCGGCACCGCCCCTGCGGCGCCCCGAGAGCCGGGACCCCTCCCGGACTCGGTACCGTCACCGGCATCCCGGGACTGACCCTGGTGTCGGCAGCGGCATCTCAGGACCCACCCCCGACATCGGCACCGACCCCCGGACCCGCCTCTGACACTGCTCGAGCCCCGGCACTAAGCCCGGTACCGATCCCGACCCGCTGTACCCATCCCCGGCACGGCCCCGAGACCAGGACCGGGACTCGGCACTGCAGGACTCTCTCCGGTACTGGCACCCGCCGCACTGCACTGCCCGGTACCGCACAGGCCTCCCGGGACCCATTCCCGGCTCCTCTCCGAGCCCCGGTACGGGGACATGGTACCGGCACCGTCATCCCGGGACTGGCCCTGTACCGGACCAGCGTCCCAGGACCACTCACGGTACCTCCTTGAGCCTCAGCCCGGTACCGCAGCGGCGTGTCGGGACTGGCCCTTGGCACGGCCCCGGTCCCCCGCTCCCACCCTGGGACTGGCCCGGTACCGTGACCCTCCCGCGGTACCAGCACCGGCCCCGGTCCGGATCCCCAGCAGTGCAGCAGCCCCCGGGACTGACCCCGGCACCCGCCACCCCTCTGCTCTCCGGGGGCACCCACAACGACACGCGGGGGTCCCCAAAAGCCTCCCTGAGCCCTGGCAGACCCCCGGTGCAGCTCCGGGGGGGCACAACCACAGCCCCGTGGGCAGCACCCGAGGGCAGGGCAGGGATGGGATTTATTGTCGGGGGGAGCAGAGCGGGGCTGGGGTCCCGCGGGCACGCGGGGGCTGGGGAAGGCTGGGTGGGGGGTGGCACAGGGGGACCCCGCTAATCCTGGGCCTGGCCCGGCTCCTGAGCACTGCCCGGCTCCTGGGCACTGCCCGGCTCCGGGGCACTGCCCGGCTCCTGCGCGTCCCCCTCGGCAGGCGGCCGCGTCCTCTTGAAGAAACCCATCTGGAAGGGGACACAGTGACAGTCGGGCCCTGGGGGACCCCGCGGCACCAGCCCCAGGGATCCCACAGGATCAGCCCCCCGGAGATCCCTGTGGCATCATCGCGGGGACCCCACGGCATTGGTCCTGAGGGACACCCTGCCTCTGGGGGACCCCCACAGTGTCACCCGCCTGGGACCGCACGGTGTCACCCGTGCTGCTGTCCCCGTCCTGTCCCACAGCCCCCACCCCCAGCACTGCGTCCCACGTTTCATGGTCCCTCTGGTGCCAGTGAGGCCCCACCACCACGGTGGATGTCACCAGTGTCCCCAGTGTACCCCTGCGCCCACTCACCTTCCACATGAGGAGGATGAGGAGGGTGAGGAGCAGGAGCCCGGCCAGGACCCCCAGCACCACCCACCACACGGGCACAGCGCCCTCGCCCCCAGGGCTGGCTCGCACCACGAAGGTTTCAGTCTGCAGAGGGACAGGTGGGTGACAGCGCTGCCACCACGGCCTGTCCCCGTGTCCCCACAGGCAGCAGCCCTACCTCAGCCTTGCCGGCAGGCAGGACGCGGGGCTGGACGCGGTAGGGCATGGCCGAGGTGTTGAACCACGCTTGTGACTGGATGCGGAACTGCGTCAGGAGGTGCTCCCGCTAGGGACAGAGCGGGGACACGCCGGGGACACATGGGGACACATGGGAACCTGGCATCAGGGGTGCTGGCAGCTGACAGGGCACCCATGACCCCACACATGGTGTCCCCAGGGTGCTCTCTGGGGACCGCCGTGCAGGAGGGGGCATTGCAGGGATGCCCTGAGGGCACAATGCCACCCCGTCGGCAGCTGACAGGGCACCCATGACCCCACACATGGTGTCCCAGGGTGCTCTCTGGGGACCGCCGTGTGAGGGGACATTGCAGGGACGCCCTGAGGGCACAATGCCACCCCGTGCCCTCTGTCCCCAGGAGGGGACAGTACCTGCTGCAGGGTGTCCATCCAGAGCAGGGCGTGCACGCTGACCAGTGCCCGCTGGTCCTTGCCCAGGCTGGGCACGTGGCACGTGATGTCCACGCAGGTGGCATTGTCACAGTCCTGAGGGCGGTGTCCAACACAGTGGGTGTTGGGGGGCCCCCACCCCAGGGGACACTCCCAGCCCTGTGCCCACCATGGCGTGCATGTCCCCAGGGCCACCCAAGGGGTGCAGCCCCAGCCCTGCCTCCAGCACAGCCGGCATGTCCCCAGGGCCACCCAAGGGACGCAGTCCCAGCCCTGCCTCCAGCACAGCCGGCAGGTCCCCAGGGTCACCGCTCACCACACGGACGAGGTCCCCCAGCCCCTCGTTCCCCGCTCCCGGGGGCGGCTCCGCCTCCCGGCGCTCCCGCTGGTGGGTGCCGTTCCCGGGCGCTGCGGCCGTCGGAGCGGAGATCTCCAGCTGGAAGGGGACACGGAGGTGACACCCACCTCCCTGACATGTCCCAGGGCCGCCGGCGGGCGCGGTCCCGCAGCCCCTACCTGGGCGGGGTTGAGGGCGGGGTGCTGGGAGCAGTTCATGCCCCCCTCGGTGCCCAGCTCCAGCAGGTAGAGCAGGACGTGGTCGCCCAGCAGATGGG